GTCTCCTGGGCCTCAGGCGTCGGACCAGCCTGTCCACCTCCTTGGCTCTCCCATTCGCGGGAGGAGCACCACCATGGACACGGCGTCGCCCCTGTAGGGCATCTCCAGCACCTGGGCGTGAAGCTTCTCCGAGTCCACTGGAACGGAGTTGGACATATTTGAAGTTCGTTGATAACAGGTGATTCATTTTACGATTTCTTTGCATTGTAAGGTAACTTGTTCTGTGTTGGAATTGTGTACATGTTCCCATAAAGAGAAAGACACCTAATGAACACATAATTGATTTTGATTTGCGACAAATCGATACAAACGCAATGAAAATGGGGAAAAAAATATGTAATAACGGAAACTGGACACAAGGAAAGGTAGGGAGGTTCATTTTGTATAAAGGAAGAACTCCCATACATTACCATATTTGAACCTTCCCGTTTGCGTCATCATATCCACTTGGACATAGTCTTCCGGGGTTACGAAAAACTTGTCCTTGTGGGTCCTTTGAGGCTTGAACGGGTATTTCCAAAAGCCTTTGAAGTAGACGGCGTTAGTTAAGACCATTTTAGCGTCTTTAACAAAGGAGGGTTCTATAAGCTTTGGTATTTTCCTCGCGTTTCGGCGTTGATGAAGGCATTGATGTCAGCAGCGGCGGCGTCGGGCTGATGGCAGATTCAGGTTTGATTATTTCGGTCTCTGGAGTTTAAAGATCCTTTAAAGAAATGTATCTGTTTTAAAAACTTGAAAGGATTTTTTTCTTGTACAAGGGTCTCTTCTGTACGCGTCATAAAAGTTATGCTGCGTTCGGAACTGCTCGTCTTGCTCGTCCAGACACCTTGTCCAGACAAGCAGGACAAGTGGGCCGCGTTCTGAACCTCCAAGACCCTTTCTGCCCAGAATGCAACCGGCTCCAAGGTAAACATATTTTATTTTTATTTTTTATTTATTTGTTTATTTTTTATTTTTATTTTTTTTTTTATCATACTGGTGTCTTTATTTTACACGCTGCATAGGTTTTGTAACTCCTTTGATGCATATTTAACTTACCTGCAACTGACAAACACAAAAATATCCTTTGATAACACCAATAAAGGGTTATAAAATTACCCACCAATATCTTGCGGTTACCTACAACTGTCAATGTTTACATACAAAATTACTGTGACGTCATCTCGTCCTGTTCGCCCAGGTTCGCAGGAGGGCGAGTTGGACGAGCCAGAATACTTGTCCGGGACGAGATTGTGGAAGTTCCGAACGGTCAAAACATCTTGTCCAACTGGGCTGGACGAGATAGACGAGCAGTTCCGAACGCAGCGTTAAATCCAGATTAAAGTTTCATCCAAATCCACAGTACTTTCATAGATGTAATACACAATACCAGACGCACGCGTCCATGCGATCATCAGTAAATCTGTTCTTTTACAATTAAGAGCGGGCATTTGTGTAGTCGAAATTAGCAAACTCTTTGAGTTTCATATCGCACGCTAATGCTGTTACCGAGACGTTTGCTAAAAAAAAAAAAAAAAAAAAAAAAAAAAAAACTATATATATATATATATATATATATATATATATATATATATATATATATATATATATATACATACGGCAGTCTTATAGCATGAGGATGTGCATTTGTGTTACGACACTAAATCCAATAAAGGACTTCAAATGCTCTTTTTATAGGCAACAGAACTGTAGCTGTTAAACAAAAGTTACATCAGTTTATTTCTGCGGAGAGTTTTCTCCGAGAGTTTTTTCGTGTTTTGTTGCTGTCGAGGAATATGATAACAAATTCCCACGTAGTTTTGAAGCATTGTAATATAAAGATTCAGAAAGTTTGTACTTTAAATCTGAAACCTAATCGTGATGTTATTGAAACTCTGGAATTATTTGTGGGATTTCCTTTTTTTTTTTTTTTTTTTTTCGAGAGTTATTTCTGCAGTTTAAGTATCCCACGACTTATGAAAATATATGTTGATAAAAGTTTATACACATCTTTAGCATGAAAATGCCAGAATTAGTTTCATTATTCGCAATAATAAACATTTATGGCAACTCGACTTCATCCTTTTTACCTGAATGGTGCGACTAACTAGCTCATTTTGAGCATGGCAGGATTAAAGTACGAGCTCAAAAAAGTGAATGCTGGTCCAGAGATGAAATAAAAGTTGATAATGGACGCTGCCATTGCGCATGCGCACTAGAGATCTGGATTAAACTTTAATTCTGGATTAACTTTTATGGCACGTACAGAAGACGCCCTAAAGCACTGAAGAAGTTGGTTCATTCTACATACATTAAATGATCACCACAGAAGGCTTTCTCTGTTACTCAAGATCAAAGTAAGTCTGCTGAACAGATCTGCCCTCTTGTACGGAAGGCTTTCACACTGCGCCCGAGGTTTAAGCTATAAGGTTTGAAATGCTTCACTTTGTTTAAGGCTTAAAAGGTTTTATCACTGTGCCTCGGCTCATATTTCTGTCTTCTCGTACTAGACCAAGATTGCCAGAGAACTCCCTTAACCACTTGATGGAAACGTATCACAAATTGAAATACAATGTCAGGTTACAGAGATTTGTATGTATATACGAAGTGATAATGCAGTGATTTAATGCAAATGTATGTGTAGATTACCCTCTTTTTGCAGAGACATAATCAAAACATTAGACCATAACTTATAAGCTGTGCTTTTATATAAAGAATGATGTTCGTATCCTCACTGAGCCATGAATCTGTAACTACATGAGTTCTGATATCCCTATTTTTGGATATGCTGCGATGTTACAAGTGATGAAGACTCCCCACATCTAGTAGGCAGGAAAATAAAGCTGTAAGCCAAGTGTTTCTTACCCTATTAAAGTCTGTTAACTTCACTTGGTCGTCGAGGACTTTTCCCACGCATTCTCGGACGGGAATGGACTGGTCGAAGTATATCCTGTTAGCCGAGTTGATGGTGTAGTTCTGGTTTGCTTCTTGGGAGTCATAGCTGCAGTCGTGTTATTTTAGTAGAAATTATTATCTGATAATGTTATTACTTGCATTATAAAATCATGATCCTTTTTGTTATCATCAAGGTATTCATGTCCATTTCTCTCTCTCTCTCTCTCTCTCTCTCTCTCTCTCTCTATATATATATATATATATATATATATATATATATATATATATATGTATATATATATATATATATATATATATATATATATATATATATACTTTTATATACATATACACGAAAATGAATAAACCAACAATATGAATTTAAAAAATCTTTTTGTTGTTCTTTATAATTTTTGTATACACGTTACTGTGTTAATGTTTTACACAAACACACACAGAATCACACACACACACACATATATACATACATACATATATATATATATATATATATATATATATATATATATATATATATATATATCAATCTACCTACCACCTCTCTTAACGGTTCACTCGGTAGGTTTAATCGCGTCAACCCACTCACCGCCGTTCGAGGGCCCTGAACAGGGCGAGCGTGTCCTCCTGTTGGTGAGCCGCAGAACCTGCTCCAGCTCCGCCTTCGTGTTGCCTCGGGAGCCGAAGTAGGCGAGGACGAGGGCGCTCCAGACGCTGAAGGGCGAGATGAAGAAGTTCCCCGGGAGGGAGAGCCTTCTGAGTAAGTCGAGGCTGAAGAAGGTCGTCCGCCTGAGAATCGGAGCCGCGGGGGCGGCGAGGTGTCGGAGGAGGAGAGGCACTGACAGCTGGCCCGTGACAGGAGGGCGAGGGCGGGGAGCAGCACGCACACTCTCATGGTTCTGAAAGGTCACGCACACACTGGTATTTGAATATAGAAACACACACACACGCACATGTATATATCTTAGTCAAAATATTATGTATTTCTAACTATAGACAAAAGCGAGCCAGATACATTAGCACTATTAAGATATCTGGTCTTATTATTTTGTCGCAATGAACACGGTTTAGAAATAAGCGACTCAGACACGGGTTGCAGTATACACAAAACTATAGGGTGCACAGGAAACATATAACCGATATTGCATGTTCGCCTAACTGATAGATTGCAAATAGACCTTATGAGGTGGGAGGCAAAATGCTGAGAAGAACGGCGCAATATCTTTCAGTCACCTCAACACATCAGCAGTCAACAGTTACCATATGCGATTTGCAGTACCATAAATTCCTTACGAAATCTGAATATTCATATAAAACAGAAAACACCAACGATGGTCTGTGGTGAGACTAAAAAGCTAGAGATTACTGAGTTAGCGAGGCTTTTCCTGTGAATATTTTACTACTCCTCTACATCTGGTTTATTCATAATTCCATCAAGCACACAATAATGATACACTGAACTTACACAAACCGTAGTTTATTGTCTTTTATGCTCTATGTTTGGTGCCACGTCTCTCTGTGTAAGTGTATATTGTTACAAAACTAAGATTTAATTAATACACTACAAATCTGAACTATAATGAAAAATCTTATCTGAATTTGATCACAAAGAGATACATGTTTTTGGGGATGATTTGATTCTCATGTTCAGAATTTTAACATCGTCTTACAGATGAACGTCTTATCATACAGGGTGTCCTGTATTCACTGTTAATGAATGGTTAGTGATATGATATGTTAACACTTTCATTAAGTATGAAATTATCTTGAAATTCTGTGTGCGAGACGTTTGTTAAAATCGTGCGAGGCCCGACCCATGAATATTCATACATAAAGATATTCAAATAAAGGCTTATATATATATATAGATAGATATATACATTTATTTATCTATCCGGCAGATATGCATTTGTCTGTCTACATTCATATTCGTAATAATTAGGTCAGCTTCGCACAGTATTAACAAACCGGCCGATGATATTCATCAGCATACAAATCATACAAAACACCGGTACACAGTGCTCACCAAGAGAGTCTCGACACCAGCACCAACGCAGCGACCTAAAGTGACAGACGAGCGCGAGAAGTCCTCACGCAACGCACTTTCACCTACTACTGAGAGGCGGCTGGGACTCACGCTGATATACATCGCAGAGAGACCGCGAGAGCCGACATTTCATCTGTTGATTATGTTTAGATCTCTGCATTTATTTGGTCTTGCCTGTTCATATATCCTTAGCTCAAAGAATCGGCTCCTAGGGTTAATGAAATTTTATTATTTTTTATTATCATTATTATTTTTATCATCACGATTCCTATAATGATTCCTATGATTATCATTAGCACCATTATTATTATTACTATATTATCATAATCATTTTCATTACTATCATTGTCATTATTATTACAGTCATTATTATTACTACAGTTTTCATCATTTTATTATAATTATCATTATTACTATTGCTATCGTATTTCTTATTATCATTATAACTATTGCTTTCATATTTATCATGATCACTATTGCTATTATATTGATCCTTATCCCCATTACTATTATCATCGTTATTATTATCACCACCGCCACCATCATCATCTTCATTATCATCATCCATTCATTTATCTTTCTTAGTATCCAAATGCACACAAACCCAAATGTACATTACAATAATGCATAACAAGGCACATAATACATTCTCTACAAACTATATTATTTAATCCGTATCTTACTCGTACAAGAGTTATTCCACTACATCATAGGAATAATGAATACTTATCTGTTTGAGCCTTTGGTTGGTCTCGAAAAAGAGTCGTAACTATTTATTTCTTACATTTTTATAACTATAAAAAAATAAATAAATAATCAGCTAAAATCTTCTATTTAGCACATAGTAAGACTGCCCTGCCATTGTCATAAAAATATATATATATCTTTTCGTGTTTGGATTGCAATGGAATGGTAGTCACCAGTAACATGTTATCTGAATGAAAAATCGTTGTAGAACATACGTAGAGTTGGGTGTCTGTCAACAGAAGGGCGGGTGAGAGCTGCTCTAATAGCAAATAGCTCAGCTAGTAAGGAAGAGGCTGTGACACACGCTGATATACATCCCAGAGAGACCGCAAGAGCCGATATTTCGTCTGTTGATTATGTCTAAATCTCTGCGTTTGTGTGGTCTTCCTTGTTCGTATGTCCTTAACTCAAAAAGTCGCCATTTTGTATTATCTTTATTTTACATTCTCTATTATTATTATTATTATTTCTATCATACTCATAATCATTATCATTATCATTATCATTATGATAATGATATTGATTACGATTAAGATTATCATTATTTTTTATTATTATCCTTATCATCATTATCATCATATCCTCCTTAATATTATTATTGTCATTGTCATTATTATCAGTCTTTATTAGCACTATTATCATATTCATCACTTTATTATCATTATCATCATTATTATCATTATTACTATTGCTTTCTTTCCTATCATTTTAACCATTACTATCATCATTATTATCATTATCAATAAAACTGTGATAATCATAATTACTACCATCATTATTATCGCCATCCTTAATATTATCACCGCCACCACCACCTCGTCATCTTAATTATCATCTTTATCATCATCCACTCATTTATATAATGAATAACAAACCAGAAAATAGATTCAATTGATTTAGTCCTTTTACAAACTATGCTATTTAAATCAAACTCGAACAAGTAGAGTAATAACGAATAACGAATAATTGATTTGAGCCTTTGGTTGGTCTCGAAAAAGAGGCTTAATTTATTTCTTACAATTTTATAATCATGGTAATATAAATAATCAGTAAAAATCCTACCAGGGTCATGAAAATGTATGTATTATTCTTTTCGTGTTTGGACTACAATGGGAACAAGCCAGTCGTGACTGAAGAGAAATCACGGAACAATTGATATTCTCAAAACAGAAACACAAGCAGCGTTCCCTTCACTGTAATCAAAACAGGAAACGAATATTGCAAATTCGGGTCACGTTTGCATTGCAATGATGCTATTTGGCATAACAGCAAATGCAGCGAGAAACGTGATTTGGAATTATAAACTAAGTTATTAAAACGGATAAGTTCCATGTTTCGCTCTCTCTCTCTCTCTCTCTCTCTCTCTCTCTCTCTCTCTCTCTCTCTCTCTCTCTCTCTCTCTCTCTCTCTCTCTCTCTCTCTCTCTCTCTCTCTCTCTCTCTCTGTGTGTGTATGTGTCTACATATGTGTGTGTTATTATGCAAAGTAAAGCGAAGAAGTGAACCCGTTTACAATAATAAAGAAATGAATTATTCGACATATATGCATATATGTGTGTATGAATATATAAACCTCTCTGTTCGGGGATCGATCCCGCGCCGCCAGATCGTGAGGCGGCCGCTCTATCAATTA